ATTTTATTAAACGAGATTTTATTCTTTTACTTTTAGAAACTAAACCAAATATTTAACATTCTTAAATTGCATTTTAAAACATTTATTTTAATATTTCCTCATTTAATTTAACTTTTTTTACTATTTCAACTTATTAACTAAAAAGTTTAAAAATCTAATCGAAAGAAACTTCTCTGTATTCTTAATATTTAATTGCCTAAATTAATATCATTCCATCTGAATTTAATTCTGGATTTTCTGAAGTAAAGACATTTTAAAATTAAGGATTACATATAGCTTAGAAAGCCTAAAAATCATCATAGAGTTTTTAATTTTCTTAAAAAACTTAGTGTATATTTTCATTTAATAGTTAGTTGAAAAACTAATACATTTAAATTCTATAGAACTCTTTATTTTTTAATTTTTGTCCATTTCTTGTTATATTTTATTAAATCTGTCTAGACTTTTTCCTTTAGAATTATTATTATTATTTTAATTTAAATTATTTTAAAACTAATTGTAAATAATTTCGACATTTTTATATTAAAATATTTTATTTTTTATTTTTTCGGCAATATTTTTGGCTTAGTTTTCTGTTTGAAATTGTATTTTTTTGTCTTTAAATAATATAAACTGGGTCATATTAATATAATCTTTCTTAAAAAAAACTCATTTAGAAAAATAAGTGTTTCTTTTACCACTTCACGCCTTTTTTTTCTTGCTTTTATGTTTGTTTTTTTCTATATATAAAATCCACTAAACCCATTTTCAACCTCCTTACGCATTCATAAAAAGACAAAAAATAAAAATCAATTTATAGATATTAAGCAGACATTATTTTTTAAGAAATAAGTGGAATTTCAGTACTTTTTAATAATTCAAAAATAAAAAAAGAATAAAGATATTTATTTTCGTTTAAATTAATTTAAAAAGACTCGACTTAACATAAACTAGTATTATAAATTTAATTAGAAAATAACCAAAAAATAGAAACTTTTTAATCATCTAAATATTCCTCTTTTATATATTTTATAGTATTAGATATTTCTTCATGAGATATACCTTTAAAATATTCCAATATACATAGTATTTAAGTTTCTTTTCCTTGACTTTATTAGAGTTTTTATTTTAAAAGTTTTAATAAAAAAGAGATTTCTTACGATTTTATTACGTGTATTATTTTTTTTTTTGGTTTTTTTAATTTCTTCATATAAATATTTAAGAAAATCAATAGATGAAGTTTAGTCTGTTTCTTGGGAAATTAATTATATTATTTTTAAAAATTATTATTCAGTATTTAATATTTATTCGATTTTTATTTTTAAATTTTCGAATTCTTCTGTTAGTATTTGTTTTTTTATTTAATTCATTTTTTAAATTATTTATTTTACTTCGACTAATTTTTTTTCATTTTCTTTGCTTTTTAATTTTTGACGAGGAATTTATTCATATTCGATTTCCATTTTATTACTTTGACTCGGAAGTATTAATTATACAGAGTCTTCAATATTGATTTTTTTCATTTTAAATCTATTTTATATAATTTTATAAAATTTATTTTATTTAAGCGCCAAAAATAAAAAATCAAATATTAATATATATATATATATATATATATATATATATATATATATATTATATTTTTTTTATAAAATAAGTATGTATATATAAATTTATTATATTTTTAATTTATTATTATTATTTGCAATTTTTATGATGATATTTAGGTAAATCTACTTTAATATTAATTTTTTGCATTTTTTAAAAGATAACTAATGATTTTATAATATTAATAATTAATATTATTCGAAAAAAATTTTGTATAAAGATAAAAAAAATATATAAAATAATTAACAAAAAAAAATATGAAAATTAATAAATATACATGTATTTATATTATTTAATTAATATATTTTTTATAATTAATTTTTTAAAAAATACCTTTTTTTATATTTACTTTTATTAAATAAAAATAAATCTATGGATATATACAATTTAATACCCCAGTTATATAATTAATTATGTTACTTACAAAAATAAAAAATTTAATCTGATTTTCAAAATAAATATAATTAAAAAATAAAGTATTAAACTATTTATTATAAAAAAGAATAACATTTTTAAGTTTATAAAAATATATTTTTTAAAAAATTAATAATTTAATATTATTAAAACAAATTTATGTATTTTTTTAAATATTGAATTTAATAAAATATTTAAATATATTATTTCATTTTTTTATTGTAATAATTTTTTATATATTATTATTTATATATATTTATTAAATTATTTAAATTATTTTTTAAAAAAATATTTAATTATTTATAGTAAATAAATTTTAAATTATTTAAAAAAAAATAAAAAGAATTAAAATTATATACTAAAAATATAATATATAATTTATTTCTCATTGTTTTTTTTTTAATATATATTATTTATAATTATCCAAACTTATAATAAAAAACAAAAAAATAATATAATATATTTAATTTTAATTGAAAAATTTTATTAATCTTATTTGAATATTAATAAAATTAATAAACATTAAAATATAATTTAAAAAATTGAATATTTAGTTTTAAAATTTTTATATAATAAAGAAGAAAAAAGAAAACAAAATAAAGATATAAAATTATATATGTCTTAAATATTAATTTTTCTATTTACAAATACTTGTTATTTTAATTCTAATGTATGTTTTAATAAATTTAAAATAATAAATATATAAAATTTCTATTTTAAATATATTTTTATATTCTTAGAACTAAATGTATTATTTTTTTTTTATGACATTATGTTATTAAAAAAAAATGATTATTAACTAATATACATATTTTTAAGTATTATCTTGAAAACGAAAATTATAACTATTTTTTTATATTAATAATAATAATAATAATACAAATGATATATATTAAATATAAATAAATTTATTAGTACGCTGATATAATGTAATAAAAAAAAATAAGTTATTAATAAATTTTATTTTTTATTTTAATTTATTAACTAAATATATAATTAATATTATTACTTTACAAAACAATTTAAAAATATTTTATATAATATAAATTAATATAATTATTGAAAAAAAAAATTAAAAAGTAATTAAAATTTTACATTATGGATGTTACTAAAAGTAATTTTTGTTAATCTCAAAGGAATACATTTTTAGAAAGTGATTCTTAGTTTAATTTAAATGATTAAGAACAACAAATTTAAAATTAGTAATTTTAATAACATCAATATAAAAAAAGCTCTAATTAATAAAAAAGCAATTTATTGAAAAGATATTCTTTAAATAACTAAAATAGTGAATTTATTATTTAAAATATATTTGCGAAAAAAAAGTATTTTTTAATTTTTTAAATAAATTATTTATAATGTGTTTTTGTTTTTGTTTTTGTTTTTGTTATTGTTTTTTTTTTTTTTTTTAATGATTAGTTCTAAAAAAATAAACAATTAAATCGATTTATTAAATCTGTTAGAATAAAATAAAAAAATAAACTATACCGATAATTTAAAACATAAAAATCCTAAAATTTGTAATATTTTAAATAAAAAATACTTAATTTATTTAACTTTTTTATATCAATATTTATATATATATATATATATTTTAATGCATCTAAAGGCGTAATTGAACCTAAAAACCCCTAAAATACGAATATATAAAACTATAAAAAAAGTAATTAGTATTTAGTATAAAATAATTAGTCTAATAAAAATGATTACATAGAATCTATTATAAAAAACATTAATTAAAGCAAAGGAGGATTAAACGAAGTTTGGAAAAAGAGATCATTTAGAATTTTAGCAAAAATTAATTATTTTATTTTACGAATAAAATAGTTCTCTCTATCTTTAAAATTCAAAAGCTTTACCCAAAAACAATTCCAATTAATAAATGACAAAAGCTCAAACTATGAATTTTTTAAGTTAATATAATATAATTAAAAAAACATATTTATTTACACCTACCAGAAAATTATATATAATATCAAAAAATCTATAAACGTTTATCTTTATAAAAACTTTAAGGTATTCAAAAGTTTAAAAATTAGCAAAAATATATAAATACAACCAAATAGTTACATTAAAAATAGCTGGGATTTATTAACTTTTATTTTAATTTTTTTTAATTTATTTTACATACCTCTTGTAGTTTGTTTTCAAGAAGAAAAAATAATTGCTTTCTAAACATAAATTAGTCTTCTTAAATATTTCTTTTCTATTGATATTCCTATATAAATGATAACTCCATATTATTCTAAAGGACAAATAGTTTAAGAAAAAAGTAAGATTTTCAAAAAATATGTTTAAAAAAGTAACCTAAAAGAAACAAAAAAAAACAAAAAATTATTTATTAAATTTAATTAGATTTCATTTTAGATTTTTTAACATCTTTAGGTTTTATTGCAAGCTTTTTTTTATAAATAAATTGGATAAACTATGTTATAATATTCAAAATAAAACGAATGATAAATATATATAGAGAAATAGAATAAAGACTTAACCTTCGTTATAAATATTCAACATTTTTAGATTTAACAACTTTGGTTTATTATATTATTATAGTCGCCCATATATGTGGTTGCCATTTTTTTTTAGTAGGAATATTATAAAAAACTGACTTAGAAACATAAACATGGATAATGGCTTAATAACTTGGTAAAAAATATATATTTTTATATAAAAATGAATATTAATATGAATATATATAAAGATGAATAAAATTTGTAAACTAAATATATAACATCCGTATATTGGGCTGTAATAACAATGATTACACTGGGATATGGTGATGTAGTTCCTATAACAAATATCGAAAAAATATATGTGACTTTTGTCACAATAATTAGTTGTGGGGTATTTGCTTATATAGTGAATACTATTGGGTCTATAATATAAGATATAAATAAGAATTATTAAGAGTTTTAACATAATGTATCTTAATTGAGTGGTTATTTAACCGAAAGGGGTGTTAATAATAACTTAATTGTAAAAATAAAAAAAAACTTCGAGTATTTGTATAAAGAATAGGTAAAAAAATACGAAGTTCATTAAAGTTTATTAGATAATCTAAACTCGACTTTGAAAAAAGAAGTCTAAAAAGAAATATACTACAAGATTTTACTATAATAGAAATTTTTTAAGTTAAATTTTACTGATGATTTTATAAAAGAATTAGCTACTCATATCAAATAGAAAAATTTAATGCCCGAAGAAGTTGTTTTTGACTTCGAAAATATTAATTAAAACCTATATTTTATAATAAAAGGACAGATTTAAATATATGTAGATTCTAATAATTCCCCAAAATTAGTCTAAGTGTTTGAGAAAGGAAAGATTTTCAGCTAAAACTCTCTTTTTAATTCAGAACCTTCCATATATAAAGCCGTTTCAAAAAATGTAGCAAATCTAGCATATTTAAATTAATAGGATTTTATATAAGTAATAAAGGCTTTTCCTTAAGATTACGAAAAATATTGTATGATAAAAGATTAATATAATATAAATTAGGTATTATAAAATTTAGGTATAAAAATAATATATATATATATATATATATATATATATATATATATATATATATATATATAAAAATATATATATATTCATATAAAAGATTAATAATGCTTTAGTTGCAATATTTTTAAACATTAATTTTAAAATTGTCCTATGGTTTTCCATTAAGCTTATAGACATAAACTTTTAATAACGCATTCTAAAAACATAGAAGTAAAAAAAAGATAATTTGTTTAAAGATAAAGTACATTTAAGGTTAATTCATTCTTTAATCATAGGGCTATTGAATAAAATGTACTTAGTTATTTAGTTTAATAAAGTATTTATAGTAATGCTTAAGAATTATTAAATGTTTTATTAAATTATTAAAGGAAAACTGCACAAAAATAATATTAAAAAACTATTATATAAAATTAATCTATACAAAATAATACAATAAATTATTAATAAAATCAATATAATTTATAAAGTGAAATAGAAGATACTACAATTGAAATTGGATAAATAAACTTGCCTATATAAAAAAGAAGATTAAAGGATTAATATGAGAAATAAGAAAAAGAGGAAAAAGAAGTATAAATATAAATATAATTATATATATATATATATATATATATATATATATATATATATTTATATATAAAAATTTATCAATATAATATAAAATATTTTTTTTTTATATATCAATGAATATATATATTTATTTTTTATTTTAAATTTTCATAAATTTAAATAATTTTTTATTATTTTTTATATATATATATATATATTTAATTATTTTTTATAAAAATAATAAAATTAGAATTTATTTCACTAATATCCTCAATATTAAAAAACCTCTCCTTATTAAAAATCATCACCATATTAAAGTATTAAAGAATCAGACAATTTAATTTAAAGTTTTGAAACCAAAACTTAACCGACTTAAAAATCATATTTTACATATAAAGACCATAAATCAAGTTCAAATAATTAAAGCTAATAAGCAACTTTAGAAAAGAAATTAGTTTAATCAGATTTCAATTTTAACGGAAGTCAATACATTTAATAAAAAGTAAATTCTCTTTAATAGATAATTACGGATGATTTCTTTTTAGATTAATAATTATAATATAAAAATTAAACTTTTTTTACTATTTAAAATTTTGATATTTAAATGAATTTTTAATTTTATTTCCCTAATAATAATGTTGAAAAAGTATTAGTAAATAAAGATAAATTTATAACAAAATAAAGAAATTAATCTAAAATTAGTAATTAAAATTAATAAATTTAAAATATGATTATGTAATTTGTATAATCTAATGCTAAAAAATCTTCCATTATAATTTCTAGAATATAAAGTCCTAAATGATTAATATTTTTATTAAATTTATTTATTAATTTTTAGCTTAATTAATTTTTTAATTATTTTTTTATTTTTTTTATATATATATATAAAAAAAAAAAAAAAAAAAAAAAAAATTAAATTTTAATAAAAATATTTTTTTTTTTAAATTAAAAAATTATAAAAATACAGCTAAAAAATAATAATATTTTATATATACGAAAATAGTATGGAAGATTATTAAAAAGAATTTTTAAAAACAATTATAGTTTATTTAAATATAGATTTTGAAGGTAATGAATTATTACTTCGTATAGAAGAAGTTTTTTCCGCAAATAACACTTAAATAAGTGATATAATATAGTATTCAATAAAAGCTTTTAATGAAATATTAAAAGAAAAAAACCGAAAAGAAAGATTAAACCCAAATTATAAAATTTGGAATTTATTTATTGCAAAAAAAAAAAATGGAAAGCCTAAATAAGATATGCCTTCTTTAGACCAGGAATAAGTTTTGTATGATTTAGGTACATCTGATATTTTTAGTTTAGATTCAAATAGTTAAAATAAATTATATGATAAAGATAGTAAAGAATTTTAATAATTATAATAAAAATTCGAAAATGAAAGTGAAAACCAGACAATAAGTAGTAGATAAAGTCAAGCAATTAAAAAAGACATAACTTTGGATACATATTAAGGTAATATGAAAAAAAATAATGAAAAATTTAATTCTGTAAAAGAAAAATCAAATGGAATATGTAATTTTTGTATATGATTTTATTTTTTTTTAAAAAAAAAAATAAAAAAAAAAAATATATATAAATAATATATTTTTTATATTTTTGTTGGTAAAAATTAATATAAAATATTACATATTTATATATGTATATATATAATTAATTTTTTTATTTAAAAATAATGTAAATATATATATATTTATATGTTTAAATTTATATATATACATAAATTCATTTTTATTTTATATTATTATCAATTATAATTTCTTAAGATTTTTATTTTATATTAAATTTGAAATTTTATTTTAATAATTATTTTATTATTTCTTTCCTAATATGATCTGATGATAATAATATTTATATTTGATTAAATTAATTTTTAATGAAATTATATTTTTGATTATTCTTGATTTTTTTTTATTCTGAAAAATATTATTTTTATAGATTATTTTTAAAAACATATTTATTATTATTTTTTGAAATAATCATATTTTCTTAAGTATTTATTTTACTTATTATATTGTTATTTTATGAATTCTAAAAATCTCTCGTTGAATTTATTTTAGACTTCTTCAAACTATATATTTCTGTTATAATTTTTTTTTTTTATTCATTAATATTTATGTTCTATTTCTTAAATTTTTCTAATAAAATTATTTTATTTTTAATATTATTTTCATTTAAATTAAATTCAAATTTAATTTTATAATTTAAATATTTACGATATAACTCTTGAAAATCTCCAAAAAAATATAATGAAATAAATAAATAAATAAATAAATAAATAAATAAATAAATAAATAAATAAATATATATTAATTAAAATACTTTAAATAAATAAAGTTTTTTTAAATTGCTTTTTTATTCTATTTTAAATTATTGTAAAATTTATTCTTACTAATAATAAAAAATAAATATATATAAAAATATATAAAAAAAAAAAATTTAAAAATAATTAAAATATATAAATAATATATATATTATATCTATATATATGAAAAAATATATATATATATATGTATATATATATAAATATAATTTTACTGTAATATCTATATTATAATTTTATTAAAAAGAATCAATTAAATAGTTTGCAAAAGGTATATTAATCTAAAAATTTTAACAAATTAAATATAAGGCTTTTAAATGAAATATTTAACTCAAATTTAATTCATCATTTTCTTCTATTTTACTTATTTTTTTGTTTTTTAAATTATTTTATTAAATTTATCTAATTTCATTTGCAATAGTAAAGAAAATCGTTGATAAATAAAAAATCTTTTATGTTAATTTATTTTCATTTATTTCTTAAAAAATATCACATTCAAATTACACATTTTTAAATTTTAAAGGTTACATATGCATAATTATTCCAATATTGAAATTTTTAATCCAATTATTTGATTTTTTTTCTAATTTTTATTTTTTTAATTAATTTTATTTCCATAAAAATATTTATTTTTATGTATCTTTATATTAATTTTCCCCATTGTTTTAAATCACATTTATTACATTTTAAATTTTTGCTAAAGTCAATTTTAATATATTCTTTTAATTTTCAGAAAATTCTTTATCTTTACTTCTCTAGCTAAAATAAAGCAATTAATTAAATATTTTCTTTTTTAATTCAAAGCATAAATTTGATGTTTCTAATGCTTTTTAATGTCTTATTTTATAAAAACAATAAATAATAATATCTATATATATATTACTATCCTTATTAAGAATATATAGCACAACTTTATAAATATGATTTTACTAAAAACATTTATTTTTTATAAGTAAGTAATCATTTTTAATATTTTCTTATTTTTTGTTTAATATTTATTCTTCTTCATTTTCTTCTTCTTTTAAACCTATTTATAAATTATAAATAACTGCATCTATATAATTTGAGCATTTATCAAGTATCCATAACCTTTTTTTATATAAATATATTATTTATAGGTATATTACTTTTAATAAACACAAGAAAGATTATATAATACTACTATTATTAAATTTCTATTTATTGATTTTCCGCAACTAGCCGCAAACTATATTATTTTTTTAATTTTAATAATTTTTTATAAATGTACTTCAAGCATTTTTTCGGCTTTTTTTAAAATTTATAAAGCATCTTTATATTCATTTACCTTTATTTGTTATACTGATAAATCATTCATTTATTTAATATATGAAAAATATTAAACTATTTTTATTTAAAAAGAATAAAAAAATATTATTTTTTATAACTTTCATTTTCTAAAAAATATTTTTGCTATATTTAATCAAATTCTTCAGTATCATATTATTAATATGAAATATCATTTTATGATTATTAACTAGAAACAATACTATTTAATGAAAGTAAAACTAATTAATTATTTTATATATTTGTAAATATGTAAATAAAATAGCAATATTAATAAAAATAACCTTGTTCATTAAACATAGTCTTTTTATTTAAATATGAAAAAGAATTTTAATAAAAAAAAAAATTAAAATTAAGTATTTTAATAAAATTAAAAAAATTAAACGTTTAAAAAATAAATAACTTTTTATTATATAAATTTTATATATAGTTAAATACTTATTTTTAAGCAAAAATTAACGCTTATTTTTCGAAGAAATTTTAATTTTTTAATTTCATGAAAAAAAAATTATGAAATAATTTAAATTATATTATAAACTATAATGAAATAATTAAAAATAATTTGTTTTATTTCCTTTTTCATTAAAATCTAATAAATTAAAATAAACTATGATTATTACAAAAATTGTATTAATAATTATTAATAAAAATTATTAGATATTCTCTTAATGTTATTTATTATTATCTATACTTTATTCTAATGTAATTGAATTTTAATAAAAATAATAATAATTTATTATTTTTATTTATTTCATATAATTTAAATATTAATTATTTTTTTATTAAAAATAAAGATTTTTATTAATTTT